AGAGAAGAGAAACCAGATGCGTTCTGGGGATTATTTGTCATGCCGTTTTCTGTCGGTGTTAACGTGATCTTTTATGTCTTCGTTTATGTCATTTGTCATAAACTTGTGAGCAAAACACGGAAGTTAGCATTTCATTGTACTCGGCTACATATGGCAATAAACTTGAAGTAAATGTCCTACACTGACACTCTAAAGGAACTGATATTTTTAATTTTGAACACAGTAGATAAGGAGGGGAAACGGTTACGTTGTTGAAGCCAATAGCTTTCTTTCAAGAAACAGAAAACGATCAAATAACTATTGATTACCAAAACAAGCAAGATGGGTCAAATGCCCTCTTGTTCTTTGTAACTCTTCTTATGTTCTTGTGCTGATTTCTTATTACCAACTGATTTGTGACATTTAGATTTCTGAGAGGTTTTAAAGAAGGATTTTTAGATGATGTTTATGTAAACTAACTCTTTACATTAAGTCTCTTTTTCGAAAAAGGTTAAATGAGTCATCAAAAGTATTTGTAATTTCCAGATCACTTTTGATGCACACCTTGACGGGCTTTAATTTTGTCCCTCTCCAGACAAGATGTACTGTACATTTCCATACATTTATTCATTTGGCAAACACTTTTATCTGAAGCAAGTTAAAATTGCATCTCACCAAGACATGAAGGCTGCATAACTCCCATTGTGTAAATATTTGATTCAGTCCGAGTTATAGGAGAAATCCGAGGTTGTGACCTTTATTGGCTGATGTAAAATGATGGGAACTTACTGTCCTTTACTTAGTAAATCTGTATCGACAGAAACGTGGAGCAAAGAACAGACAGTAATACTGCTGATTAACAGAATATGCATCAGAACTGGAAGTTAGAAAAAACATGTAGTGGATCAAGTAGCTATGAAACAGGATTATTGCATCTTTTCCCCAGTTTTTCATTTCTATTGATAATATCTTTTTTAATCTGTTAATACTCACCTTCCAGCTTTTCCTCCCTCCCATCTCTGTCCCACCCTATCCAGCCTTAGCGTTGTCTGCAATTTCTCATCTTCCAAATTGTGCTGCAGCAGACACTAACTGCTAATGGCCCAACAGCTATGAATATTAGATATGCCTCTCTCCTCTGTTGAGAAATGATGAGCTGTTAGAAAGCTGTTCGTGGGAGAGGACGGGAGACTAAGTTCCCTCTAAGGTGCGTCTCGGTGTCTTAAGAACGGGTGTGAAGGGGTCCAGTGCACCGGGCTCCTACTGTAGGTCTGTACCGTTTGATTGTCACCATGCGAAAACAAGGGGAATCGCTTCGTGATGTGGCTGTGCTGCACAAGCTGCCGGACCAAACCTCTCTTTTTTGATGACAGAGATCTCACACACCCTAGCGGGCATCACGCGGACAGAGGGAATCGATGACAGATGTCGCCCACTCTGCAACATGTGGATCTTGGTGCCGGCTGCTGACTTCCTGATCTCTGCTTGACGGCTGTCCTGTGGTAGCCGGGATTCAGGAATTAGGTTTATAGCGTCTGGAAAAAAAAAAGAGGAGTGGGGGGGGGGGAATTTGGAAACACAAACACACACAAAACAAGCCGCGAAAGCCTGTTTTGATTTTTATGAGCATTTGTGTTCGATCTTTTGGCACATCTGGGCAGGGTTCTTGAGAGACGGGGGCAGCTTTCCCCCACCTCCAGTGAACAGAAAGTGAAGAATATCTTTTGATTTATTTATTTATTTTTTGGACCGGTCTGTGTTTTCTTCCGCTGGTTTTACTGGAAGTGCAGCGTCCTGCGCGTAGCGGACGCG